TTTGTCCACTTCCAGTTTCATCAACTTCAGAATGGGGACGATGTTGATGAAACAACTCTGCCGAAGATCTTCACTGCACTTCTTCAGCAAGACACACACATACCGTATGACACGTCAGCTCCTGCTGAACCATTCAATGCTGCCTTTGCCATGACTCCACGTCGGCCCCGCCGCAATCAAGCCCAACCCCGCAATCCTGTCGTCTGCTCATACTGCAACATCCGGAATCACACTGAGGATGTCTGCCGCCGCAAAATAGCAGATCAACGCCAGCAGCAACAATAACAATCGGGTCAAAACACCGGCTCTTCTCAACGCCGTGTCCGCTACTTAACGGGACCTTCTGAAGCACCTGTTGAAGCTCCATCGACGACTGACCGTACTTCTGGTCAACAACGACAGAATACGCCTCGTCGAAACAACTCGCGACCTTCCAACACCAACCATGCTAGTATGATGGTGTACACGTCGAGCTTCACATTGCAGACTTCCACTCCATCTGTTCCTATCTCGTCAGACTGGATCCTGGACTCTGGTGCTTGCGATCAATACTGCAACAACGCTGCTTGGTTTAAGAACCTAAGACCCCACGAAGGGGCTGTTCGAGCTGCTAACGGAGAAGACATCTAATTGAAGGATGCGGAACTGTTGTTCTTGAAATGAACACAACCGCTGGCATCGTCTCAGTCACCCTTGATGACGTTTGGTACATCCCTACCATTCAGTTCAACTTGTTCTCCCTGCCAAGAGTCACGGAACGAGGATTCAGCATCAAGTTCATCCGCAATGCCTGCTTTATCACGTGTAATGATGAAGTCTACGCGCAAGGCTTCAAGCACAACTTGCTTTATACGCTGGATATCGCCAATCCTCTTCCAGTCGTCCCCGATGAGCCTTCCCGGGACTTTTCAAACCTCTCTTTGGCTACGACTCCATCTGTCGATGTCTGGCATGCTCGACTTGGTCATATCAGTGTCAAGCATATGAATAAGACTCGTCAATACACTAAAGGGATTGATATTGATGACTGCAAACATCGATTTTGTGAAAGTTGCCTCGCTGGAAAACAATCGCGACTGCCCTTTCCACAGCGGTCATTAACCTCGTCTTCCGCGCCGTTTGATCTTGTTCACTCGGACATTTGTGGACCGATGCGTCATCCCTCCATCAGCAATCGAGCGCGATACTTTATCACGTTCACCGATGACTATTCGCGATATGGCTTCGTGTATTTTCTGAAGCACAAGTGGGAAGCTCTACAACGTTTTCAAGCCTTTACAGCTTTCTGTCGCACGCAATTCGATCGACAAGTGCGTTGCCTTCGTTCTGACAATGGCGGAGAATACATTCCACATGCCTTCTCTACTTTTCTCATTGAGAACGGCATTCGCCATGAGAAGACAGTGCCCCACACTCCCCAACAAAATGGAGTCAGCGAACGAATGAATCGTACACTGGTCGAATGTGCTCGTGCTATGCTGCATTATTCGCATGTACCCTTGCAATTTTGGGCTGAAGCCGTAGCTCATGCTATGTACCTTCGAAACCGCTCGTACTCTTCATCCACACCCGGTACAACACCCTTTGAACGCCTCTGGAAATTCAAACCAGACCTATCCCAACTGCGCATTTTTGGATGTGAAGCCTATGCTCTTATTGATGAAAGTGCTCGCTCCAAGTTTGCATCCAGAACTATTCGTACAATGTATCTAATGTCAAGGGATACCGTTTGTACTGTCAGAAATTCTTCGTCAGTCGGAACGTTAAATTTAATGAAGCGAATTCCTACCATGCGAATTCTACTTCTCCGCTTCTCTTGCCCGCGCAAGACATTTTTGCTGATGAAGATTCTCCAAGAGATGAAAGTCCTCCACCTCCACGACGCTCGACTCGTATTCGTCGACCTCCAATGCGATTCATGGATACAACTCCAATTTTCCAACCTGCTGCGAGTTCACCTCCACAAAGCTCTTCTGTCCCGACATCTGAACAACTTGAAGATGTCATTGACGACTCTGTGTCAATGCTCAAGAGGATGTCAACACGATGATTGAAGACACTTCAACTTCGATCCCGGTTGCTCTCGACGACTCGAGGATATGGACGTATCCACTATCTATGATGCACCTTTCTGCGTCGTAGACTTCGTGAAGAAACTATTGACGAAGACTTTGAAACAGAAGACGACATAATCGCTTCTAAACGTCAACGTATTCTTGTTGCATTTGCTGTTCACTCTACTGGCCTCCCTACAACTATTCAACAAGCACATTCTTCACCAGAACGAGAAGAATGGATCAAGACCACTGATGCTGAATACGACTCTCTCATGGAACATGAAACCTGGACTCTTTGCGATCTACCCCCTGGTCAAAACCCATTGGTTGTCGGTGGTTATTTACCAAGAAATATTCTGCCGATGGTTCTCTCTTGCGATACAAAGCACGCCTTGTTGCTCAAGGTTTTACTCAAGTTGCTGGTATCGACTATACGGACATTTTTGCTCCTGTGATGATTCGTACGTCAAGTATTCGCTTTCTACTTGCTCTTGCTGCTTTGCAATCGATGCAAATATGTCACATGGACGTACAAACTGCCTTCCTCAATGGAACTTTACAAGAAACGACGCTCTACATGCGTCAGCCGCCTGGATATGTCCAACCTGGACAAGATCATCTTGTTTGCCGTCTAAACAAGAGTATTTATGGTCTGAAGCAATCCTCGCGAGAATGGAATTCTGCTCTCGATTCATATTTCAAGTCAAAAGGCTTTGTTCAGCTGAAGACTGACCCCTGCATCTATTTTCAACGTACAAGACAAGGTTTAGTTTTGGTGGGCGTCTACGTTGGCTTCATTCTACTCTCTACAAGCACTGCTGTGCTTGAGACCACCAAACGCAACTTAAGTTCTCGATTTCACATGAAAGACCTTGGCAACTTGACTTTTTGCCTTGGTATAGAAGTCGACCGACTACAAGATGGATCAATTTTTCTCCATCAGCGCAAGTACATTTTGGATTTACTAGCTACACACGGGTTTACAGACTGCAATCCAATCTCGACTCCTCAAGCACGTTCAGCTACAAGTTCTTCTACGGCTTCATCACCGTTGCCTTTCCGCCAAGTGGTGGGCGAACTTCTGTACCTGACTACGACAACTCGTCCCGACATAGCCTATACTGTAACTTTGCTGTCAAGACACTTCAATGAACCTACTGAAGAACATCAACAGATAGCAAAACGCGTATAACGCTACCTCAAAGGAACACAAGAGTATGGTCTACTATACTCCAAGTCTGACAAAGAAGATTTTACGATCGATCTCTATGACGACGCCGACTATGCGAACGACATTTCTACTCGACGATCGACTTCTGGCTTCCTTCTCTTTCTCAACGGATGCTTGATTTCGTGGAAATCAAAGCTACAGAATATCGTTGCTCTTTCGACTTGTGAAGCCGAGTACATTTCAATGTCCTATGGTCTCCAAGAAGCACTCTGGCTCAAGTCTCTACTCGAAGAACTCCAATTGGTTATCAAGTTACCCATCAACGTTTACGAAGACAATCAAAGCACTATCAAGATGGCTGAGAATCCAACTCTTCAACAAAGGACTAAGCATATCGATGTCCGCCATCACTTCATCCGTGATCTAGTCAAGCAGCACATCATCAAGATCAACTACTGCCAAACCAACTCAGTGCTCGCTGACATTCTCACGAAGGCTCTACCCAAACCCAAGTTTGAAGAGCACATGCCAAAGCTTGTGACCTCCATTCCCCCAAGCAACAATGAAGAAACGTCTCGATTAGAGGGGAGTGTTGAGGAACGTGTCGCCAGTGTGCGCCAAATATTTGATCCCCCCAATCAAATGTTTGGTGCACACACACGTCACTTTATCTAGCGTTCTCCATCGTCTCATTGGCGACGGCCACGCACATTGCCGGCACGACTACACTGTCTACTTCAAGAACAAGCTTTCATTTTCACTTAGTTATGCATATACTCTAGTGTAGTCTTACATTTTAGTCTAACTTGATAATCTCACTTTCCATTTCACCTCAAGAGAAGCTTCCTCTTGGGGTCCAATGGCATGCCAATTCAAAGGCTTGGATGAATGGTAGTGTGTTCGCTCAATACTGCTTGTGGCTGAACAAGAGAATGGAATCCGAAGGCCGCCACATCTTGCTCTTGATGGACAATGCACCATGCCACGTTATCCCTGAGAGCAAGTTGACCAACGTCAAGGTTGTCTTTTTCCCTCCGATTACGACTTGCGAGACTCAACCACTCGATGCTGGCATAATCAAGAACTTCAAAGTCAAGTATCGTAAGTACTTGATTGGGTACCTCATTTCCCTGGTCGACTCGATGGATGGGATTGACGCATCGAATGCTTTGAAACGTGTGGATATGAAGATGGCGGTTGAGTGGATGAAGCGTGCCTGGGGCGAAGTGACACATACGACCATCACCAATTGCTTTCGCCACTGCGGGATCAACAAGGATACAAGCATTAACCTCTCTGCTGCTGTTGAAGCATCTCAAGTGGAGGTTGCTCACGATTCAGGGGAGGTAAATGATATTTTGGAGACAGGTGACATTTCGGAGCTCAGCTCTATGCTGGAACTTATTGGTATCCATTCCACGGAAGCTTTTGACGAGGGGGCTTCAGCATTTGATGCATCCGTCTCCAGTTGGGAAGAGTCGATCTTGGACGCACCAATCGATGATGGAAATTAAGATGAAGAAGAACAAGAAGTTAATGCGTTGTGTCCACCGAGGCTCGATGACGTTCACGATGCTCTTGCAGTTTTAGATGCGTGGGCGGTACACACGAACAGCGACATTGTGAACGATATTACATCAATCCGCATGGCTGTCGCTAAATATCGCACAACGCTACCGGACGGTAGGATGGATACATGGTTACTCTATCTGTAAATAAACTTATGTTTGGAGTACAAGTAGTCAATAATGATTAAAAATTGAGAAAAAGACTTGCCGTGCCGGGGAATTGAACCCGGACCCCTTCCTCTATCCTTTGATGCCGTCGCTCTTAACCAGTGAGCTACGTGGCAAGCCGATGTTTCGTTCTTTCGATGTTGGTGTAAGTTTTGTAAATTTTCCACACCAGAGACAGTGGGACACCTGCGGTTGCGAAACTCCTGCTATGTTGAACAAGATTCACATCCACCGAAACTCGTTTCACTTAGCAGGTTGTGAATAAGAATATTCTTATTCACTACAGTCCAAATTTGAATGCCTAGGGAAAGGGTTCTTATTCACGTTTTTTCGTTATTTTGTCAATTTACAAACAAAAATGTCTCAATTCCATCTATGGAACAATTTTTCAATTCTATTTTTCTCGAATATAAGTTTTCAAAAGGTAAAAACTTTGAAGTCAATTATCTCGAGAATAAATTTATAGAGGAAGACCGATTTTGTTTCGTGGGCTCTCAAATATAAACTCTCAGTGGGGTTGATTTTTTCTGATTTTCGTTTGTATTTACCGTTACAAACCAGGAGTGGAGATGCTCTAAATGTGACTTTACAACAACATCTGACCCCTCGACACATTTAGCTCTGCTATTTGCACCTTGGAGAGTTTTCGGCCTCCCTGTGTCGTACATTATTTCAGCTAACATGCTTGTTCGGGCTGAGAGAATATTTGATTTCGAAGTCAATTGAAGCAAATCGATCACTTTCTGGCTTCGTCGTGCAAATCTTGCCATTCAACATCGGAAAACACATCTGACAGACTGCGATCCTTCAGTCTAATTGATATTTCTTTGATTGACGGTGGAAGCGTCTTGATTAGCGTCCTGATGGCCTCAACCGAGATGCCACTACACAGTACTCTCACAGTTTGTAGTACCGAGTTGTCACGGAGGACTTGAGCCACAGCGAGTCCATCGTTAACTACAAACTGCTTCACTTCCAATTCCAGACTTTCTAGTGGACGATTTTGCAGCAATTGTTCCCAGATTGTCCAAATGCTGAGACTCTCTTGCTGCGTCTGTTTCGCTCAGGGATAGCTTGCTGACTTGACCTGGCAGAAATGATCCAAATACGTTTACCACACGACTGAGCGCGCCAAGCTTCGTGGAAGACTGCTGGGGCAATATCTGGAGGGCATTGATACCAGTCAATGACTTCTAAATGAGGGAGGAATGAAAGCAATTGAATCAAGTGGCTTGTCTTCTTAAGCTTTGGCTCGATGCGAGTTATACAAACCTTACGGGAATAAAATGAGTGTCAGGTCGTCGAATCCAACAAAGACGTGTTTGAGGACTAAAATGCGTGCGAACCCACTCGACGTCAGTCGTTTCACTCACTGCAACTTCAGCATAGTAATTGACGATGGCTTCCAAATGGACTGGAGATGGAATGTCAACAGACAAGAGTGATAAGCGAGGCCACAAATCATTTCTGCTCCAGTTGTGTTGTTTGAGCAATTGCCAGAGATTCTCCAGGACGCCAAGATCGTGCGTTGTACGAAGAGCTTCGAGGAGCGCAAATAAAGTATCAGCGTGCGCAACAAAGCGCGCGATTCCTCCCAAAGTGTCGGCGGAAAGGTTGAACGGAGCGACGTTCTTCATGTTCATCAGGAACGAGGTGTCAACAGACACGAGGCTCACATTCTCTTTTGCAATGTTTACTTTAAAACTCCAAAGGAAGCATAAGCCAACGATATAAATGCTATATATAACATGTAAATGCTGAAGATTGCCGTTCGTCTCCAATTTACAAGAGATTGCCGATGCTCCGTTTATGGAGCTGGAATAAGCTGCGGTATTAAAGCGGGGTTATAATATGAGAAGTCATGGATATCGTTGAAAGTTTAACTGTTATAAATGAATTTCCCGTTCTTGAGCTATTTGGAGTAATTCGTCGCATTTGATTGGAGTGTACAAATCCGTCAAGGCACTCCTTGTTGATGTAAGAATCAACTTTGTCAAGGACTTGGGAACGGCCATCAAAACGCCCTTGGCACCTTCAAAAGTCAAAGGACGTCAGTTGAAATCCAGGATTTGTAATGAGGGGTAATCACTAAGATCTTGAGCCACTCGAAGCACTAGAGATTCGGCTATCGCTGAAGCACTAAAATCCACGCTCTTCACTTTTGCAAGTCTCAAAAACGGCTCTAGGATCCCCCATACTGAGTCAAAGATCGTCGAATAATACCCTTCTACGCTCATTGTTTGGATCTTTTGGTCTTGCATCAATGGCCAAAAGAGCTTCAGAAAACCAATGGCGAGGTCTGCATCGACCGATCCAAGATCCAAGTTGAAATGGATGGATTTCCTGCCTCGCTTGTACTCTCCACTGAATCTGGAATTCAAAGCGCTCACTTCTTGGAGTCGAAAGGTCTCCAAAGTCGACTTTGACAGTGCTGTGGTAACAATGCCCTGGCGTAAATATTGATTTTCCCACGTGAAATTTACCATCTCAAAGCTTCGAATTGGCTTGGAGTCAATCCACTCGACGAGAGCTAGAGCCATAGACGATGTGATTTTGCAGTGCCTTGGATCCGTCGGTCGAGCGGTTTGAAGATTTAATTTGAGCAGGCTTGAGCTTTGAGCGGCAAATTCGAAGATATGGCGAGCAATATGACGTACAAGGCGACCATTGGAAGCTCTCAAGGCTGTCAAGGAACGACAGAGTCTTTTCCATCTTGTTGGGATCGACGTTTTCCTCGTCCACTGATGCAACTCGAAATGGTTTCCAACGACTCAGTACCTTCATGTCGAAGTAATTTCTTGAGTATTTGCTCCCAGTGGTCAAATGCATTCTTGTACTTGGATCGACAAATCGACAAATCCAAGTGAGATCCATCTTGTAATCCACAATCACTTGGGGATAATGTTGCACAATTGCTTCCAATTCAGTGCGGGAAGCGTCGTTCATTGTCCTCAAATCCAATTTTGGCCATAAATCCATCGACTGCCACTGCAGCGATTGCAATTGCTTCAAGTGTTCTAGTGGCCCGAGGACATTCGCTGGACGAAGCGCCTCAATATAATCAAGTAGAGTGTCCCATTCCTCGATGAAGAATGCCACATGCAAGACAATTTCAGTGGAGAAGAGCATTATTAGACTTCGCAAATTGCAGTTTGGTTCTATCGTCCAAGATTGCGATGGATGCATCAAAAGTTGTGGATTACTTTTCCTCACCAGAGGGAACATTCAGCGACTCCCAGACGGAACATTCTGGGAATTCCACAATCTTTGAGGGGACGATCTATTTTTTCGCTTGACCGTGTTCAGTACGGTATGCAATGGGCCGTCCAAAAAATTTGAAATGTTTGCTCTTCTCCAATTTCGTTTGAATTGTCGAGACGCCTTTGGCCTTGGTGAAGTAATATTGCGCGTTTTACTCAAAATTTCCAAGATCGATTGATTGAATCAATCAAGTCAAATCGATCAAGGAATCGCGCAGAACTGTGAAAACATATAAAAATCAATATTAAGTGGTTTTCGAGGAATTTATGGGTTGTTTCAGCCAATCAGACATGTGTCTCAATTTTGGGGCAAATGTCTTGTCTTTGGAAATAGTATTGAAGCGCAAGAATTGCATCCAACAGCTTTTGAAATCATCTCTTAGGTCCGTTTGCATCCCCACCTGAGCGTCACCAGGCTGGTCTACTGCGCACAGCTCTCCCCAAGCGTACGAAGCGAGCGAACATCGCCAAGCATTGGAATGCCATGAAGTAAACATACAAGCAGTGGTAAAACATTCACAGGCGTATATTGGCGCGTTGCAGCGTTCCATTCGAGTGTTCTAGGGTGCAAGTAGATCTTATTTATCGCAAATTTGGCCAAAAAGGTTAAATGGTCGATTCTTGAGCGATTTCTCACAAAGTGTCAAATCCATCGGAACCCGCAAATTTGGCCGGAATTGACAATAAATTAAGTGCATTTACAACGAGCAGGCGAGTGGGCTTGGGAAAGAGAATTTGAACCTCCCCAACCTCATGCTGCGTGCTTGTATTGTACATTTCATTGGAATATGGTGCACTTGTCGTGGCCAAATCGCGACTGACAGAAATTTAATATTGAGTTTTGTATTCTATACAAGGTCAAATACAATTCCCTCCCGGTGGTGATACTGAGCCAAGGCCACCGACTCCGTACATCCTTGAACACCGTCGCGCATGCTCTCTATGTCCGCAACTGCCTCGGTATGAAGCTTCAAGACGTCGCGTGTATATTCCGAGCGTCCGTCCTTGCAATTCCCCAAGTCCCACGAAAATGGTGATTATTTATTCGTCAAAGGATGTACAAGTCGATTCCAGTCCAATTTGGAATCGAATGAAGAATCGCTTGCTCACGATGAACAGTCTCATGTTGCAGTCTTGCGGAGACCAATCCTACCGAAGGAATCATGATTTTTCGTTGCAGAATTGCAGTTTTACCTGTCACAGATCATAGGCCATCATTCCATTGACAATCATTTATTCTGTGTTGTTCTAAGACAACCGAGCGACAGTCACAAGCAGATCGCACACTTCGCAAAACAATGAAGCCAGCATGGGCCAAGATACCGGTGGATGTGGTGCTCAAGATGGCATTTTTCATGCCGGATGCTGAGACTGTGTTTGCTTTCCTCGAAGTTCTCCAACCGTACAATGTGTTGGGGCCTTTGGAACATCTCCACCGCTTGGGGTTGGCTGAGAACCGCTTGCTTTTGTGGCCGTCGTTGGTTCTGAATCCATCGATTCTTGACTCAGTGAATTCCTCGTCGTATGAAGCGATTGCCAAATACTATTCCGAAGTTGTGGTGGAAAATGTTTGGAACGACGTCGCGTGGCTCCAGACATATTTGAACCCAAAGGCCAAAATGCAGTGGAGAGTCACCAATGCTCCAGAGTCGATGGAAGCGTTGGATGTTTGGGAAGACTTTCACATTACACAACTGACATTTTTCGTGAATGACGCATTTCCTCCCTATTGGAAAGGTCTCTTGCCAAGTCTACGTCACTTGACAACTTTCAAAATATGCCACAATTCCAATGACTCGGGCAATCTCTTTGAAATTGTAGCCAAGAGCAGCCAAATTGTGGAGTTTCAAGTCATT